AATCATAAATTTAAGTATGTAAATGACTCTCTGGACTTTATTCCATTCTATTGATCTAGTTGTCTAATCTTGACCAATATCAACCTAGTTAAATTACAGTTGCTTGAAAGTGTGTTTTGGTATCTGGTCAGGCAAATCTCCTTTCATAATTCCTATTTTAAAAGAAAATATCTCAAGAAATCTTTGTAAGTATAATGAAAACGTTTCTGGTGCAATGAGATTCATACAATAAGAAATATTAGAGCCACATCAGGGGTTTAAACAGAAAATCCAGGATAACTTCATGTCCTTTAGCTCTAACATTACTCTAAGTGCAGGAGCCCTTTAGTCCACCAGCACCTCTTTAGCACACCTCACACCACATCTTTTTTTTTTTTTAATTAAAAATATATATTTTATTGATTTTTTTACAGAGAGGAAGGGAGGGAAATAGTTAGAAACATCGATGAGAAGAAGCATCGATCAGCTGCCTCCTGCACATCCCCTACTGGTTCAGACCAATCAGAACCAAATCTGGGTGAAGTGTGAGGAGCCAAGACCTCTAGTGAGATGATGGTGTCATACCCTACAGTCTTCATCCCCAAGGACAGCATTCAGACAGCTACCTCTCTTCAGATCCTCCTCAGGCCAATAATCCCCAGGGTCTTTCCATTCAACTTGGTTCCCATGAACTTCTTTCAATCCCATTTGCCATCCTTCATCAAAGCTGTTGCCTGGGGAATCTGCCGGCCAGACATATGATCATCCCACGGGTGAGCTCCACAGCAATAAGACTGTTCCCATTGGGAGTGTTCATGACCAGGATGCTCTTCTTCGTGGGGCTCCAGACCCACATTGTCCATGCTGGTGTCAGCCCTGCCCACCACCTGGAGCTTCTCTGCTGCATTGATATCTGTGGTCACCTTGGTGGCCAAGCAGACGGTAAGGCCTTCGCAGTCCTGCAGCTTGGCTATCAGCTCCTCTTTGCTCAGATTATTACAAGCCCAGGAGACACAAAGTACTATAACTGAATCCTAGTTATGTTATGGTAACATATATGGCCATAATTGTAGAGAAGTACTTTTTAACTTTATTGTTGAGAATATTACTCATACTTAAAGCATGGTTCCTGTGTTATTTAAGGAATTTGAAAGGTTCCACACAATCAGGCACATTAAATCTGTAGTTGCAGTTTAAGTTGTTTGAGGCAGTTTAATTACATTCACAAAAGAATGTTTAAATGCTCAAGAAAAATAAATGGTTGTTTCCTTCTTTCCTTCCTGAGTAATTGAGGCAAGGTCAGAGCGAACATGGTGGCTGAGCAGTCAGGTGGGTTATATATGACAACTAAGGTAAATAAGGACATGGAGGAGGGGGAAGCCACGCTAAAAAAGGGAGCTACAAACATGGGAAGGAAGAAAGCCAGAATGTGCTATTGGGTAAGAATTGGAGACATTGCTGTTAACTAATGACTTTTAGTAACTAGAGATATAAAAATAAATATCAATGCAAGTGTATGAATATTACATATTTACACTCACACACACAAATATATTTCCTGACCTTGAGGGGCCTGGAGCAATAACATCCCAGTAGCAATTAGCATACTTTCCGTAAATAACCAAGTGCCCTTTTTATTGGCAAGGTGGTTGGCAACTACCATCTTACTAGGAAATCTAGGAGCAACTGAGAAGGCATTCAAAACAACCCCAACTGATAATCAGAATGTATTTTCTCATGAGGAAAAAAAAAGTAGAAACTGTAATTATTAGGTTAGCTCACAAAGATTTTATTTTACCTATGACCTTAGAAAGAAAACACTTTGTTTCTCATTATACTAGCAAATGTAAGCCTGGTGGTAATATTCTAATAATTCTTTTAAATGTACTATAGCATTTCAAGTCTTACGAAACACATTAATTGCCCTCTGTCTTCTTTCAAATCTATTAGAAACAAACATATAGTGCTCTAATGAAATGGACTGACTGCTTCAAAACTGTCACCTTGTGAAAATGTCTAGTTAGTCCAAGGATCAGCTACTCTTCAAATAATTTTTGGGACCATCTTCTATGCTGTCCTTTAAAACTCATGGTATAACCTTAGAGGAAACAAATCTTACTGCCCTAAGTAGATCTGATTTTCAAAAAAGAGTCCAAAAATATTATGAATTAGGTGATCAAGCTGAGTAATAATTTGGGATTGGAAAAAGTAAAGAGATTGAAACCTGCAAACTAATTTAACCAGTAGTATAATAAAATCCTGTGTATAGCTTCCCAAAGTAACTTCTCTGAGAATTACATTAACTTAGCTGCATAAACAAAATAATTTTATGGTCACACCTCAGACGTGCCAGATATACTAGTTCACAAGTATTAAAAAAAATGCTCCTTCCCAAAATATATCTCCCATTGTCCTTCCAAGTTACCTAAAATTCAGAATACCTTGATCAGCAGACTGACAGCTTCTGCTAAAATACCACATATTCTATGCAAGCGTAGCAAAATACCTCAGTGTGATTTGATATAATAAATGGCCAGTCTTGACTGACACAAGGCAAGAGGACATAAGTGACTTGTGAGCAAGACTGTCAAGGAGGATATTCATCCAAGGGAGGCTGTAGCACCGCCTTCTGATCTTTGAACTGAACACAGCCTCCCCACCGCCCCCTCAGTCCCAGACATCCATTTTAAACACATCAGACAAACAAACAGCTGAATGGTCCAAGCAAGTGGTGATTTTTATTAAGAATAACTTTGGCTCTAAGAATTCCACTCTCAATTCTGTAATACTTTCCATTAAAAACAATTATACAAGAGCAAATACAAAAAATATTAAATTATGAAAACAAATCCATTAAGGCTCCCTTAATATATATTATATACACTCAAACAAGTCAAGATTTTTCAGAGTAGAAGAATAAAGTCAACTGTTATAGCTTAGAAAGCAACACTACTTTACTACTAGGAGACTATAAAACACTGAACTAGTTTAAGAAAACCACAGAGTGAAAAAATGGAGCCATTTTTGTAAAAAAGTGGCTCAAAGCACAAAATGCCGGGATGTTCGTGAGTCCAAGGGGTTGGACTGTGCAGTATTAAAGAGTGGGGGAGACTGACGCCTTTTTAAACTCAGGCCTGTGAGCTAAGCTGACTTCAAAGAGCTTCTCTATGTAGACCTTCCACTGTTTAGTCTTAAGACATTACTGTATGCTATTTACAAGTCTACTTTTGGCCAGACCTAGTACACTAATAACTACAAATAATTCTGAAGATCTGTGAGTGAGATTGGGAGGGAAATGCTTTTGTAATTTATTTTCTCCTAAGGAAGAATGAATTCTAGGTAAGTTCTAGGAACAGAATCGGTCCTTCTGAAGGAGACTGTCAGAGCTCCTGAGAATTTTATCAAGTGGCAGAACTGCTTCAAGGACACAGGATCTAAAGACCTTGCATGCAGTTAAAGGGTATGTAAGACCAATCCTGAATCCTCATTTTACAAATCACATCATTAGTTCATATGCACAAAGAAAGAACTCCAGTCAATGTGCAATCAGAAATATACTTTCAAGATGATCAGTGAACATACTTTCTTCTCTCATAAGGAAGAACGATGGGAAAAATAGCTACTGTTCCATGCTTCAAAAGCAAACTATTATAGAGCAGTGTCTTATCTTAAGCACTTCCCATTTTATTCAAATAATACTTGCTGATGAGAGAAATCATCCATTCCAGGTATAATTCACATATTCCCAAACTAGCAGTATACAATCATTGCATTTTCTTTTATCTTGTTCACATCAGGACTGAATATGAGCCTAATTGTTAAGTATAAACATTAAAGCATTCCCACAGAAAGCTAATTTCTACTATGCTTACTAAGAATGCAGAAGCTCAGAATCCAGCTTTCTATAAGCTTTTAAAGGAATTATAAGAAGAGTCTTCAATGCAGAAATTACTGGCTGAATTGTCTCTAGGGAGAACATGCTGAATCCACACAAATTCTTCCAGACCACCCAAGTTGAAAGGATCATACCAGCAGTATAAAATGTCTAAGAACTCTGCTGTTATTGGTAACCTGGGCTTCACTTTGAGTAGCTTGCTAGGGTGGGAAAACTGAGCAGCTTCTCCCTTTATCTGGGCTTTTCCTGAGATGCAGTACAGTAGTCAAAAACGTCATCGTTATCAAAACCATCATCATAACTAAGAGACTGGGGAAATAGTCTTTCTTCTTAAGAAAAAGAAAAAAGAAATGGGTAACATTCAACATGTACAGTTATGAATCTTCCAACGAGGCCTCTTGAGACCAATCAATGTTTGCTTCACATTAAGATACTAAAATCATTTCTCCTTCCCAGACTCCCAGTGGGAGCACTCCCCACGCTGCTCTCAGAAGGAATCAAAACATTTGGACTCTCTAATTTTGACACTGAAGTTCAGTTATGTGGACTAGCTTTCACTCTCCAAAAGATGGAGAGATTATTTCATATGTAATAGGAGCTAGGTCAGCAAGAAATATTTTTAAAAACCCTAATAGTTAACAAAGCAATAAATGGATTTATAGAATGTGCCTTCTCTTAACTGGAATGTTACCATGGAGCATAACCAAAAGGAGTTAAGACAAGATCAAAATGGCCGTTTAAGTATTTTTGTTTACGTATGTCTGTTTACATATTTTTAAACCTTCTCACCCTATTGATGTCAATAAAGGTGATAGCTGTGCTCAACATTAACATCAACATTCTCAGGTATGAATCTTAACATGGATGAAGGTATAAATTAAACAAGAAAATTGGGATTCTCAAAATAGAATTGATGAATATTGACTGTAACAGATCAAATGTATTTCTATGTGATCTAAATTATCTAATAGATAACTAAAGGAAGAATGAAACACATTTTCTTTAGGTTTTAAAAGAAAAAAGGCTGCACTAAACTTGCCCCACTAAACTTGGATCGGAAGAAAAACCAGGTAGTGCAACTCTCAAGAATTTACTCCAGTGTCCTCTTCCTTTTTTTAAAAAAAAAAAAGTCTTTGAACACAAGTCCCGATCCCAACCTAAGTGCTGGTCAATGTCCTTTGTTTGGCGAATAGGAATTGCAACTGTCACAGGTAATTTACCCACCCAGACTGTAGGTGAACCAAGTCCAAATCCTTTTTTAAGCAACAATTCTCTGCTGGCTGGGATGCTCCCAGGGGCTTTTGCCCTGAGATTAAGAATTGAGGAGGTGCCTGCTCACAGCTTCCGTGGGGTCTCTGAGGCGTGGGCCTACGACTCCTGGGCTTGGGCCACTTCTTGGCCTGTTCTCCTAAGATTGCCTTTAACCTTCACAAACTCTGGGGCGTTTTCTTGCTCTTCTTGCAGTTTCTGCTTCTCAAGTTCAAGCTAAATAAAATTCAGAAACAGAAAAATTATTTACAAACTGAGAGGTTTTTCAAGACATTCCTCTTTCCAAAGTCCCTAATGACTTCATTTCCCAATGGAAGAAATTCTCTCCCAGTCTCCAGTTAAAATAAATAAGTGTGTGTGTGTGTGTGTGTGTTTGCACATGCGAGCACGCGTACACACACAGATTCAGGTAATTCCTCACAAGAGCAGCAGTAGGTAGGTTGTTACAACAAGCAATACAGAGAAATCACAAGAATCTAAAAATCAAGGTTAAGACAAGATCCTGCAATCAACACAGCTGGTCTGTACTCCCTGGCCTATACTCTCAGAAGTAAAATTTCCCTCAAGTGCTTGAGCTCCCAACACTGCTGTGAATTCAGTCATAGCTCTCCTTTTGACTGTCTCCTCCTGAATCTCTTCTAGGCCCTCAATAGAATTCTGGACTTTACTTTCAATGTATTTTAAACCATTTGCTCATATTTTGTCTCATATTTTCATTTCATGGTATAAACATTTACATCTGTCTTGTCTGATAAATTCTGCTTGTTCCAACATTCTTCGTTTTCAGGACAAAAAAGACAACTTGTGAGAAAATTCAGAGAAAAACAAACATTGTATCATATCTTTTATAGGTGGGATCTTTAAAAAAAACAACAACCAACTTATAAAAGCAGAGAGTGGAACGGTGGTTATCCAGGGCTAGAAATTAGGGGATGGGAGGTACAAACTTGCAACTACAATAGTAGATAAGTAAGTCCTGGAGGCCTAATGCACAGCAGAGTGATTATAGCCAACAAAATTGTGTCTTACATTTGCTAAGAGATTATCTTAATGGTTCCCAACTGTAGAAGAAATAATTATGTGATGCAACAGAGGTGTCAGCTAAGGTACAATGGCAATCACATTGCAACGTAAATGTACTAAATCAATATGCTGAATACCTTAAACTTACACAATGCTGTATGTCAAATATGGCTCAATAAAAAAAGACCACTTTCACAAAGTCACCCTTACCTGCTCCAACTTCTGCTGCCGTTTTAATAGCTCTATTTCCAAGTCAGATTTCTTCTTTTGTGCTTCTTCTTCCTTCTGCTTTATTACTTGATCTCGTTTTCTTTTTTCCATCACCTTCTGCAGTTCTGGCTTATTCTGAGGGGCAAGACCCCTAAAAAAAAAACACAAAACAAACAAAAAAAAAAAAAACCAAACCATGAACAAAATAAAAAGTTGTAATCTACTGGACACATCTTTCCTGAATAGAAATTTAAGGCATAAGACACAGAGAAAGGGTCTAATGAATTAGCATGATTGTGACCCCCTACTACCAGTTAATAGTCAACATTGGTTATCTCAGAAATTCACAATCATGAAAGAAAAAGCAAGAGGATCTTCCGAAAGTAAGCAAAATCCATTCACTGGGGAAGGTGGAGAACACTATGCTCATTCGCTGAGTATGACGACCACCCAAGATGGACATGTACATGGACATGGAAATGAGATGGCTTTCCCAGAAATTTAAACAGCAAAATGGCCAAAGTTTCAGATTTTTAGGAAGGTTTTTGCATGTATAAAGGCATGTCCAAGGTTTCATCATTACTGGCCACATAAAACTCGAGCCCCTCACTCCCAGTTCAGTGATCCTTCCAGTTGAACCCTTTTCAGATGTGTGGTTAATTATTGACAATGCATGGAAGTCAGGCCCCAGGAAAATCCCACATTCATGAGGGATAAGCCAGGCTACAATCTCATCAAATGGAGAGAAATAAAACCAAAACTTAGGCCTACCAACCCTCCATCTAAGAATTCTGTGGCAAGTCAAGGGAAGACCATTCCCTAACATTTCAGCCAGTCTTCACTAGCTCTTAAGTAATCTCCATTTCATTAATACTTAAAATAAAATAACTTATCTCCTCTTTCCCAATTTTAATTAGCAAATTTGCATTACAACAAAAGAGACTGGCTACTTTTGTGACTTAATTATGGTTTCACAGTTACTAATATTGTATGAAGGGAACAGGAATATAGGTAAGTATTCGGGAAATTAAATCTTTAATCAGCACAACAGAAGTTGCTGATGGTATTTTGTTCACAATAAATCTAAGTGTCACTGAGCACACTGGAAAATTTGTTTGTAAATAATCTGAGTAAAGACCCACTCTATTTCATGACTATTAAAAAGCCTCTATAACACTACAGACAGACTTAAGGGATTTAAATTTTAGGATTAAGGATTTAGTTATCTGCATAATTTAAATTTCAAACATTTTTCTTTTTTACTTCACAGGCAAAATTAACCTCAAATGTTATTAAATGCTTCTGAATTATGCAAAACCTATTGCACAAACTTTGATGTATGACACACCAATCTGACATTCCACCGCAACATATGAATGGGTTTAATTAATATACAGTATTCATTTTCTATTGTAAGATTTTATACAATGGGAGCAGTAAGATAAAATATTTAGCAACAGAAAACTCAGAAAATGGTGGCTCATGTGATAAATGTTCTGTACTTGGAACAATCAAGAAGTCATATAAATTTAGTTAATATTTTATCATAGCCGATCACTTAATCTGTGCTGAATAGAAAAACTCAAGCAAGCACTGCCTATATGTTTCCCCGAGTCTAAAACTGGGTCAGACTTAAGATAGAAATGAGCTTCTGCAAATTTCTTAAAAACTAAATATCATTCTGCACATGACAAAAGTTGAATCTCTTTAATCAATTGTGATATATACAATTAACAAACCATTTTAATCCTGTAATCCCTTAAAGTCCCGGTGTCTGTACCACTCAAGACCAACAGTTAATCCTGAGCCTGCTTGCTGTAACTATTACAGTGGGCCAAGCCAATTTTTAAATTTAGTAAGTGCTCCTTGAATAAAATAGGTTAGGTGACATATACATAAAATAGAAAGTGAAAGCACACCTCAACTCTGTTAAACAGATTTTGGGAGCACCACGTACATTGTATTCTGTGTGAATAGTGGCCCCCAAAATAGAACATGGACCGAGAGGTAACAGTGTAGTCTAGGCTCCTGCCTCATTTCTACACCTTTACAAACAAAGCTGTTCTTCATCATCTTAACATCTGCACAAGACCTCACAAAACGGAAGTTTGCCACTCCCCTACTGACATGCATTTAGATTGTTTCCAATTGTTCCTTATTGAAAGTAATGAGGCAGCCCTAAGTGGTTTGGCTCAGTGGATAGAGCATCGGCCTGCGGGTCAAGGGTTCCAGATTCGATTCCAATCAAAGGCATGTACCTTGGTCATGGACACATCTCCAGTAGGGAGTGTGCAAGAGGCAGCCGATTGATGTTTCTCTCTCATCAATGTTTCTAACTCTCTCTTCCTCTCTTCTTCTCTGTAAAAAATCAATAAAATATATATATTTTTAAAAAGAAACTAATAAGGCAATGATCTACCTTGTACATTCATATTTGCACTCCTTTATATACTACTATTTCCATTGGCTACATTTATAGAAGTAGAACTGCTGGCTAAGCATCTGTACATTTTACAATTTGGTGTATATTGCCAAACTGCCCTCCAGTAAGGCCGCAATACTTTATATTTCCACCACCAGAGACAACTTTTAACGGTACATTTTACATTTCACATAAACCACTGAATACGCCCAGGGGCTGACTGAAAGGTTCATCTCCACCCCAGATGCACTGAACCCATACAAGTAAAACTGCCTCCTCAGCCAGAAGGCCTGAGCCAGAGGCGAGAGCTGGCACAGACACAACAGAACAGCTCTGACACCCAGCCATTTTTTTTTCCTTGGGATGGAGGGGAGGGTGCATTTGGATTGCAAGACCTTGATCTTTAATCTTGGAGTTTTCTATTCTGGCCTGCCTTGCCTACATTTGTGGCTGAACCATTTCTACCTGTGTGGATTCAAATGCAAATATTTCTACCTCAATTTCCATGTTGTACACCAATGAGTATTTATAGGGGAAATATTTGTCTAGAAAAGCATGCCAAATGCAGATATGTAGATCAACTAAAATCAGAGAAATAAAAGCCACTGGCCGAAATGTACAAGTCAAGAAACCAATTTTAAGGATGTGTTTCAATAGTTGGATATCTATTTTGCCCCCTTAAGTATTCTTGTAGAGAAGATAGAACCTAATTTATATTAGAAATATTTTAAGACATCTTAAACACTAAGCTTACAGCTTAAAAACAACATTGTCTCTTGAAATATGCCCTTCTTATGTTATTGGGACTATCTACAGACCCTGAGAATCTGAAAATGGTCTTACTCAGACATTGTGGCAAACTGTGAGCAGATGAAAATGTAAAGACTTTTTTTAAAAATTAATTTCTTTATTGATTAAGGCATCACATATTTGTCCTCAAAAACACCCCCCTATTCCAATCCTCCCCCCTCCCACCCCATACTCATACCCCCAACCCCCTATTTTCCTTGACTATTGGTTAGGCTCATATGTGTGCACGTAAGTCCTTTGGTTGATCTCTCCTTTTATCCCCAATCTGAAACTTAGTTGGTCCAAAAGATAGCAAACAGAGGAGCAGAATTACATACTTACAAGGGCATAGAGTTCAGAGTTAGAATACCGATGAATAGAGTATTTGTTCTTTTAAGTAGTAACTTTGCTTTTATCTAATGATCCTTAAAAAGTAGCTAAAAACAAACAAACAAAAAAAAAAAACAACACCAAAAACAAACAAACAAAAAAAAACAACCTAACTGCTACAGGGCTTTGAGCCAAATTTTTGGCTATGGAAGGCAAAGTCCAAGGCTTCATGGACAGCTTGGATTGTGTTGATCTCAATTGTCTCCCTCTCACTTCTCTACTCCTTTTCTAATTTTTATCATTACTATATTTAATCAAGCTCTGCTTTTAATTTAAACTGCCTTTAATTATATATTTCTTTCTACCCTTTTTATTTCAAAAACTTCAGTGAAATGTTGAGAAGATCCCTTAGCCTGTTACTCTGAGTTTTTTCTTACTAACTTGTCACATTAGGATAACGACAAGATAACACACACTGGATCCCCAAAAGATCACTGGATTTATGGGAAAAACCCCTCTACAAGTTGTAGAAAACTAATAGACTTTCATTATGGTACAAGCTAGTAATCAAGTATGATTACCCTTTATCCAAACAAATATATTACTGAAGTGATACTTCCTATTTTCTCCACATTAAAATTTAGAAATAAAAAAACTCAGACTCCAAAGTGTATATGTGATAGAAGACCAAAAGAAGAAACTGCTTGAGGAGTTTTCCCTCTAAAATCCAGTTGTGTTTCTACTAAGAGGACTCTACTAAACTAAGACTGTCCCTTAAGAAACCTGAAGACATAGAATAAGAAACATTCATTTGATTTAAAAACCTGCCTTTTTTTTCTTTTGTTTAAATGTACTTCAATAGCCACACCAGGACTTTTCAAAAAAGGGGGAAAAGTAATAGGAATTTCCAGATGGCACTACAGAGAAAGTGAAAGATGGTTGGGATTAATTGAGCACTTACTATATGCCATGCATTTTAATATGTATTTATGCATGCTATTATTTACTTCCATTTTTAAAAGAAATATATTTTTATCTCCTATTTTATTATATGAAGAAACAGACCTCAAGAAGGGGAACCTTGTCCAAGATCGTAAAGTCATTTCCCTCTGACTTCAAAGCCCACATCCTCTCTACCCCATGGTGCTTGAGGGAACACCAGCATTCTCCTAAATTAGTAGAGCTGGGCCTGGCTAAAGAGTCACCTGTGCAAACAAAGAAGAGAAAGCATAACCCAGAGAAGGTCAGAAGGGTATTCCATTTTCACAGAAAGTACCTGTTCTTAAAAAATAAATAAATAAATAAATAAAATAAAATAAAATGGCATAACAGATTCAATTGCACAAAACTATATGTTTCACAAAGATAAGACCTAGACTACTAAATTTTTGCAAAGTAAGTTGTAGCCTATAATTCAGGAAACAATTATGTTGCCAATTTTGGTTTTACCTTTGCCTACTCCATTTAAAGTTAAGGAAAGGTAAAGACAACAGAAAACCATTTAATTCAGAAAAGCATTTAGTTTCTCTCTTTTGGAGTATACTGAACTTTCTTTCTCTCAAAACACAGACTTTCCCAGGAAGGATTGTCTCTAAATCCTGTGGCCTGTTTAGGAAATTACAGTCCTATTTTACTTTGTGCATGATGATAATGAATCCATTTTTTTTTTCTTTTATGTGACAAACACCAGTAGAAGCTAAGCACTATCCTGAAAGGATTAAACTTGCATTCTATTTCTAAGCATGAACCCAGCAGCACCACGCTGGCGGGCCTGGGGCTGGAAGGGAGTAAGCCACATTTCCACAACCCAGGGGGAGGATATGCTTATAGAGTTCCTAGGACAGGAGTCTGCCCGAGGCACAGTAGGAAAAAATGATATAAAAATGATCCCTCATTTCCTTTAAAATAATTTTTTAAAGTTTTAAATTAGACCTTCCCTCTAAAACATGGCCAATGCTTAACTTGGTCTGTGTATTCTTCAGTTTGATTTGTAGATTTATTATCTATATAGTCCTGCAATTCAGATCAACCTTTTCATTCTGAAGGTGTCAAAATACTTCTAATTGAAGTTTAACAGATCTTAAATAAAGAGATCAACCTTTTGTCCTAGTAGATAAAATACCTTTGTACTCTCCACTCTCCTAACCCTGACTAAAATCACTTTCAAAGCAGAGTTCTCCAACCCAACATCCAAAATTACTTATGACACAGGAAGAACTAACAAATGGTTTATAAATAAAATAGAAGGTAAATGTTTTGCTCCTCTCCACAACAATTAATAGTAATACAAATGACGATAGTGATAATTAAAATGTACTTAAAAACAAATAAAGAATAAACAAAAAGGAGTGGTTTGGGTTTGTTTTTCTAAAAATTGGTTTTAGAGAGAGAGAGGCAGGGAGAGGGGGATAGACAGAGGGAGAGAACATCTGCCACCTGGGTTGATGTCCTGACCAGGAATTGAACCCATCACCTTTTAGTGTATGGGAGGACAATGTTCCGATCAACTCAGCCATCCTGGCCAGGGCAAGAAAGAGTGTTCTTATCTGCAGTTAATACTGACGTGTCTCTAGAGCAGGGGTTGGGGAACATCTGGCCCACAGGCCACATAAGGCCCTCGAAATCATTTGGTCTGGCCCTTCAAAGGCATTAGGGGTGAGTTAATTTAATGTTTGGTCATATATAGCAGGCTAATTTTTAAGTTGATAATTTTGTATGGCCCACGAATGATATTATAAATATCCAAATGGCCCGTGGCAGTAAAAAGGTTCCCCATACCTGCTCTAGAAACTTTAAGCTGCTACTCACAAATGCTGAAGCAGACAATATTTAGATCTGCCTCCCACACATTCACACATAGAAGGGGGAAATACAAAGTTTTTACAAATCTAAGAAATAGACTTTAAAATATTTCTCTTTGACTTAGGGCACTCCCTTTTATCTTTAGTCTAGACCCTCCCATCCAAATTTTAAAATCCGTATCGGGGAGGCAGGACTGCAGACTTCTGAAAAACACGTGGTGGCAGCTGTGCCTGCTGCTGGCTTCACTTTTTGGAGGGACGTTCTAGCTCAAGGATGCTAGAAGGAGTAAGGAAGCCTCAAACACAGTTAAAGAAACAAAAAAAGCCTTTGAAGCCTTTGTAAACATAATTAAAATTAAATCTAGTAACTTACAAGTCCCCTGAAACTGCTCAAGAAACTATCTTACCTTTTCTGATTCATAAGAAGTTCCCTGTGAAGATCTTGGTGGTTGCGGGATGTTTTGACAGGATTGACAAGTTTCTGAGGCCTAATTAGTTCAGGATTGTCATCTTCTATATAGTCTGGCTCAGCCATGATGTTTCTTGGAATGAGATATGAGTCCTTAAGGTCAGGATCCTCCAACGGGCTGTCTGAAACAGAAAGACAAGACTCATTGTGGTCTTTTCTGAGAAGACATCTCACACAAAAATGCAGTGGCCAGCGCCACCATGCACAGTGCACATGCTGAACACACCACCCTCCTCGGTCCACTACTTCATTCAGAAACTTCCTGAAGCTCTGTGAATGCAACTGGGGCAGCAAAGGACAGGGAAGAATGTCCACAGTGTCCTGTGCTGCCAATGACTAAAGCAAATAATCCTCTAACCCACATGTGTCAAACACAAGGCCCTCGGGCCAAATCCGTCCCGCCAGGCCTTGCAATGTGGCCCGCACCGCGCTGTCATCACTGCACTCCGCTGCGTTTCCATCACAATGACAGTTTATGACTGTTCAGTAAACCATTCGGCCCGCGATTTAGGCTGGATTTTAGATTTTGGCCCCTTCTCTGATTGAGTTCGACACCCCTACTCTAACCTGACTCTGCTTAGACCTTGAATTTCAGGACACACGGGATACTTCCCACCACCACATCTATAGACCAGCTCAATCCTACGGCCCAGGAAATCAAACACCAAGGAGGCTATGTGTGCACAGGGGGCAGGGTGACGGGAGGAGAGAACGCAAGGGTGTGCGTCCATGGAGTCTGTCATGGTGAGGGGCACTGGAAAGATGTGTACAAAAAAACAAACAAAAGAAAAAGGTCAAGTTGCCATCCGCTACAAGCAGGAGTCTTGGTTCAAAAGTCATCAATGATGTTTTCCTGAATCTCTGAACGGTGTTAAGATGCTGCCATCACTCTAACACGTCCAGTAAGAAATGCCGTTTTGCGTGGCAGTCAACATGACCAGAGCTTTAGATACATCTGATCCCAGCAGGAACTCCAAGAACAGAGTTAGAGCCTTCACTTTATAGACAACAAAGTGGAGAAATAAAAACTAAGTAACTTGTCCATGCTGATACTGCCAGTAGTAGAGCTCGAATGAAAATGAACAAAAATGAATATTCTTTTATTTCAAAATCTGCATTCTCTCTACCAAATTATGAAGCTTAATATTTTTGTAGAAAAATATTGTGCTAATAACGAGGATAAACATCCAAAGAATAAATAACCTATATGGAGATTATATGTACAACTATATAATCAAGGCTCAAAATTACCAAATGATAATACACACCTAAATAATTACACCTAACATTCTGTAAACGCTACCTGCATTGATCTTTTTAAATAAGAATGCCTTCAACCTTCACCAAATGGAGAATTACAAACCTCGCACATGCTGAATCAGTGGTCCCATCACGACTTTGGTGTGCTGGCTCTCAGAAAAAATATGATCCTCGCTTGAAAATGAAATGCACCATGCATCCCTCTGTGAAGTCCCAACTGTCTTTAAAAGCTAACGGCAGTTTCATTCTAGTTAATCTTTAACCAAGAAGGCCTGTATGCTTCCATAAAAGGATCTGTCTCACTGCCCTAATCTCCATGACCTCAAAGCAGAGCACTGCCTCCTTCTGTCACTACTACAGTGGGGGAGGGAGCCCTGTGGACGCGTGGGGAAAGAGCATATCAGTGAGAGGAACGCCCTGTGCAAAGGCCACAGGAAGGAGTGTGCCTGATAGGGATGAGGCATAGCAAAGAAGCCAGTTTGTAAGGACTCTGGCCTTCAGGCTGAGGGACAATGGGGAGATTGTCATTCAGGGTTTGGAGCACAGAAGTGACAAAATCTGAGTCATGTTTTTAAAAGATCATTCTATAGCTACTGAGTTTAGAACAGACTGAAGCAAGCAAGGTAGGAATCAGGAAGGCAGCTATTATATTAATGCAGGTTTAGGTCAGGGTGACGATAGTGCAGGTTAGAGGACAGACCAATCACGCTGTATTTTGAAGGTAAAGCCTCTGGGATTTCCTGCAGGACTGGAGATGAGGGGTGAAAGACAAGAGGAATCAAGGATGACTGCGTTTCTGGCCTGCACAACTAGAAGGTGAGCATTGTAGAGGTGGGCAGGCTGTGAGCAGAGCAGACAGAAGATATGATCAGTTCATCTGGGACTAATTGAGTTGGAGATATCTGCTAGATATCTTAGTGGTGAAAAAGCAAAGGCAGTTAGTACTCAAACCCTGGGTGACTCCTTCCTGTCTTACTGACTTGACTCCAAGATCCTCACTTTGCCTGTACCCCTCCTCAGTTCCTCTATTCCCACTATTCCCACTGGTAGAGGCAGTGCAAGATCTCCACTCCTAGTCTTTTTCCGAAGGCCAGCACCAGGGTACAGACATGTCTTGGGCCTTGAGTCACGAGACAGGTTGAGCTTTCAGTGTGCCAAAAAGGCTTCTGCCCTGACAGTATGGCTCAGTGGATTGGGTATTGTCCTGGTGCACCAAAAAGTCACCAGTTCGATTCCTGCTCGAGGCACATGCCTGTGTTGAGGGCTTGATCCCCAGTAGGGAGCATATAGGAGGCAGCTGATCAATGTTTAGCTTTCACATTGATGTTTCTATCTCCCAGACTCTCCCTCTAAAAATCATTAAAATTATAAAAATAGGGGGGGAAGCTTAGTTCTGAGTCTAGGGAACAAATTCTAGCATGGGTTATTTTTTTGTGATTTCTCTTCAGATTTAGTGTTTGGTAAGTCCTTCTCCCATGGGACGAGCGTAGTAAGATGGGCGTCAGCCTGCCTCTGACTGGAGAGAGCAGAGGGTGGGGGCTGGAGGAGTACTGCTATAAGGAAGGTGCAAACGTTTTCCTTGTTTTTCACTGGTTTGCCCTGCTTCACAACTGGAAAGGTGACATGGAAGCCAGTGGGTCTGAGTCAAATGTGTCAGCTTTAAGCCTGCCTGTGGACCAGGCTGCAGGCCTTATACCCCTTGTGTAGTAGACCACACTGGGATCCAGGAAAGGTCACTTAGTAAGGAGGCGCTGAACTACTGGGAACAATCTCTGTCACTCTGTGTGCATATAGGAGTGGTGATAGTGAAGGAAGGATCTAGGAGCTGGTTCTGGCCACTTCTCAGTGACTTTCTACCCTAGAACCATGAGCAACATATGGCAACCACCACCTTTATGACCTTGTTCAACTTCTTCCCTTTCCCAACCATGTTCCTCATGGCCATCAAGACTGTGAAATGCCATTCTGATCCTAAGGGCTTAAGGGTGGGCACACAACAGCTCCATCCCACAGGTCCTATCCTCTCATTGCATGGAAACAAGCACTTCTGCTCCCTGTGTCTGCACACGTCTCTGCCTTCCTCACCCAGCTCCTTTGCAGCACTGCTCCCTCCAGTAGGGGTGCTGATCCTCTTCCGACATATCCCTGAACTGCCACAAGCCAAATCTCACTCACCCCTTCAGATCCAGATAAATGTCAAATCTTCCACAAAGCCTTCCCTAATTTCCCAAATGCAATGAAACACTCTGACCTCTAAACATCTATGAAATTTTCTTTGTCCCCTTTTCCTAGTATTTACTGATATCCATCTTATATTATAGAAATACATATATATTATCTCTTCACTGCAAAGACCACATCTCATTTATATTCGCATTCCTCACTGACTGGGTCAATAAATATTAATATCTTAAATGAACAGAGTCACAGTTAACACCAGTAGAGGGAGCCCATGGCTTGTTGAGTCTACTGCAGCAAGTAAAGCACTGTGGAGATGGGAGGGCAAACCTGTTTCCTCACTGAGCATCCAGTAATAGGGAAGCCTGACAGAAAAGATGAGACAGAAATGTCTGGAAGTAAATGGTTTGTAAGTGGTTATTCTTATTATTAAAAGAAGCATCCTTCCAGAAATAAACATGAAGACATTCTTTTCATATTCACTCCTCTAGTCAAGTTACTGATTCATAAAGTAATTTATTTTTAAAGTATCAAGTCAGTGAAGAAAAACTGTTGTCCACTCAGTGAGAGAGGAAGAAAGCTGGCTTGGTATCGTAGACAAAGCTTAATAACTCCCTGACACTCAGTTCTCCTATATATAAAAATGGGTGAGGTTGCAAGGACTGGTTGAAATGTGGATGTGAGTACTCCGTATAATCCCTGGTCTATCTGGGAGAACTCAATTAATGGAAGTCACTATTAGCCAAACTATGTGACCAATGCCATATCATATTGTAATAGTCTAGCAAAACTTATACACAAAACTCAAAGTTTCTAGGCCTTGGCTTTTTTAAAAAAAAAACATGAGTTCAACTATATGACCCGCAAGCCTCTCAATGGTAAACTTCAATAGTTCTAAGACCTATTTGTTCTACACACATTAAGAAACTTCTTGCCGAAACCGGTTTGGCTCAGTGGATAGAGCGTCAGCCTGCAGACTGAAAGGTCCCGGGTTCAATTCTGGTCAAGGGCATGTACCTTGGTTGCAGGCACATCCCCAGTAGGGGGCATGCAAGAGGCAGCTGATCGATGATTCTCTCTCATAGATGTTTCTAACTCTATCCCTCTCTCTTCCTCTCTGTAAAAAATAAATAAAATATATATTTTAAAAAAAAGAAACTTCTGGAAAGTGTAAAAAGGTCTATTACACCTTCAAAGTGCTACTCAGAGTTCTGAATGTTTCCAGCTAGAATGTAAGGGTTTTATAGCAAGAAAACAGACAGGCCTGATGGTGAGGGCCTGTCCTGAGATGGAAGGGACCCACTCAAAGATTTTAAGTTGAATAAATAACACAAAATTGCATTTTAGACAGGCACCAAAAATATGTACAGAAAATGCTACCTGATAGAATTCTGCCTTTAAATTTGGTGAATCAACAAATGATATTACTAAACTATACTTTCCCAGAGAATAAGGAAATCCCATCCTTATGATGGATTTGGGTTCTTGCTCTTCTTCTTTCTACCCACCTCCCCGCTTCCAGAAGTTCATTCTGGGCCCACCTGTGTGCATATCCTGGGTATATTGTGTGAACTGATTTTCAGAGGTTAATAAACATTACCACAGAAAAATTTCACAACTGTGCTAATAAACATTTATTACAGCTGGATTTTTCATCATACTTTTTTGGCTCCAGTTGTTTATT